GAGGAGAGAAGGTCACAGGACTGAGACTGGGCTTAGGTCAGGGCCCGAGGCCCCGAGGACACGGTGACCTCTGCTTCCTGCGTCCGGTTGCTCGACCTTCTCAGACCCCTGGACATGCCTGCCTTCACAGCTGGCCACGCGGACACCTGCTCCAGCATCGGATTCCCTGTCGTCACTGGCAGAGATTTCACAACATAAGGAGCTACCGGTTGTGTTGCCCATAGAGGGTACAGAGGCAAAGCCTGCCTAGTTGTTTTCAGTCGGTGGTTATCAAGGATGGAATCTGCTGTTATTTCAGTGTCCACTGAGGACCTACTGTGCTCAGCACTTAGTAAGACCAAATAAAGGCCCAGCACCGAGACGCCGCACGGCCACGGCGCCTGGGAACTTCAAGGACTGGTATCTGACAGCCTCCCTTTCCGATCACAGTGTTATCAAGTTATTAATCAATAACAAAGTTGTGTCCATTTCCTGTACTTTGAGAACATAAAAAAACTTCTGAATAATTTAATGTAAAGTAAAATATCATGGAAATTAGGAATTACCTGAGAGTGAATGGTAAAAATACTACCTATTACAACTGGAAGGATGAAGCAATCACTAGAGTGAGCATTTTAGCTGCAAATGCTTAATTGCAAAAGAGGAAGCGTTGTTCATTTGTGAGCCAAGTACTCAGGGTGACAAGCTGGAGTAAGAACGGCACCACAAATTCAAAGCAAACAGGAAGAAGGGAATACTGAAAATTAGAACAGATCAGTGACACGGGAAACAAAGATGTGGCAAGAAGGATTGATTAGGACAAGCGCTGGTTCTTTGAAAAGAGCAAAGGACAAGTAAAGTGCTCCCGCCCCCAGTAGAACTGACCAAGGCAAGAGCAGAGACGGGACCAGCAGGCACCACCGAGTCAGGGACATGCGTGCGGACGGGGCAGCGCTTAAAATGACGAGAGGATCTTAGAGACGCCTGTGGGCCTACACGTGGAAAACTTCCTAGAAAAATACAGCTTCGCCACCGCGACTCAGGAAGAAACGCTCACCCCAAGCGCTCCGAGGCCCGGCGAGGAAACGGAGCACAGATAAGGTCTCCTTCGAGGAAATGTCCGCAGATAAGATTTCCCCAGCATCCCAGGAGGAAGCCGTCCCGGCATCGCACACACGCTCCACGGGACGCAGATGCAGACACCGCTCCTCGGTAACGCGCTGGAGCCCACATCGGTTTGGGTCATCAGGACACCGAAGCCCAGGAGGATGCTCTAAGGAGGGGACCCTCCGGACCCGTGTCCCTGGAGAAGACAGCTGTAAACATCCGCAGCGAGACGCCAGCAAACAGAATCAGGGACTGTGCGGGAGAGGTAGCGTTTACCCTGGGAAAACCAGCTGAGGGAGAAAAACTGTAATTGCAGAAAAGGCAGTTATAAAATTTAACATTCACTCATCCGTAATAAAAAAATCTTAAACTGTAAGAAGAGCATATCTTTAATATAATGAACCATCCGTAATAAAAAAAAAAAAGCTTAAACTGTAAGAAGAGCATATCTTTAATATAATGAAGACAATTTATTAAAAAACAAAAATTTTACAGCAAATGTTAAACTTAATGGTGAAACATTAAAAACATTGTCTTCAAAAACTTAATGATTTTTTTTTAAATTGGGAAACACTCAAATCCACCCACTTCCCCTTTCTCATCCACGTGTGACAGATGGTTGTCAAGAAGATAAGGACAGGAAGTTCCAGAATCGGAAAGGAAAGAGTGAAACGGAAATTACTCAGCGATGTATTTAACAGGCTCCTGAGACATTCCTAAGAAATACACAGATAGATGAATAAAGGGTTTTAGAAAAGCTGCTGCAAAATCAAAATACAAAGACCAGTGACATTTGTACCACGTTGCAGCAAACACAACCGTCAGTGAAAATGGGTGGTAAAATTGATCCTATTTTGCAATCGGACTCAGGAATAAGCACAATAAAAACGAGCAAGACTCTTACAGAGAACTTTATGGAATCTGCCGGCAGATAAAAGACCTACGGAAATGGTTAGGCCATGCCTTTGAAGCTATAGCTTCCCTTTTATTTCCTCCCCCAACTTTATTGAGGTCTAATTGAGGTATAACTTCCGGTCACTTCAAGGCCTACAAAGGGTTGATTTGATCCGATTGCAACATAGTTACCACTTCCTTTTTGTGGTGAGAACATCTACTAGTAAGATCTACTCTCTGAGCAACTTTCAAGTACCACAGAGTATAGGATTGCTCTACAGCACCGCCATGCAGTGCGTCGCATCCCCACAATGTACCCATCTTATAACTGGAAGTTCGGACCCTTGGACCATCTCCCCATTTCCCCCGCCCCCAAGCCTCAGTAACCACCATGCTCTCTGTTTTCATGAGAATAAAAATATGATGGTTTTTAATGATATTATATTACCTACAAATGGTATCATGCAGTGTTTGCCTTTCTCCGACTCATGGCTGTACCTCCTAACCATGTCGATTCTCGGCCGGCCGATCTCTAGAATCAACGTTACTCCGGAGAACATTCTAACACGTTGTTTCTGTTCTGTTCTGGTGGACTTTGGCAAACGGAATCTTTAGCTTGCTGGTGAGACAGCGGTACAGACCATAGGATTTCACTTCATAAAAGGAAAAACACGCACATTCCCTGTAGGCGAGGCTGCTCTGGAAAAGAATTGTTGCTAGGCAACAAATCAGCTGGGACCTCACAAGGCTGACATCAAGGTAGGGACTGGGTTGCGTTCTTGCGTGGTGGCGTGATGGGGAACTGCTTCTGAGCTCATTCCTTTTTAAAAAATATATTTTTATCCATTTCAGAGAGGAAGGGAGACGGAGAGAGAGATAGAAACATCAATGATGAGAGGGGATCATTGATTGACTGCCTCCTGCACGCCCCCTACTGGGGATCGAGCCCACAACCCAGGCATGTGCCCTGACCAGGAATTGAGCAGTGACCTCTTGGTTCATAGGTCGACGCTCAATCACTGAGCCTCACCAGCGGGCTCTGGTGTCTCTTAAAAGATTAGAAGGGACCCCCCTAATGGTGCATTGGCACTGACGGACAGGAGTGAGCAGGGCTGTCTTTGGGGACTGAGACAGCCCCTCCGGCTCACCACTGTCCCCTCCACACCCTCAGCCTCCCCGGCACCATGTACCCAGGGGCCTTGCTGTCTGCACCGCTCAAGGGTCCCTGTGGTGTTCACCAACCGTGGAGGCGCAGGCGAGGCCTGGCCCGCCTCCTGCACACACACAGCTCCCTGCTCGGCTCAGCATCCGGGGTTCCTGTCCCATCACAGTCCGTGTAGGGCGCCCCCTCCCAACGCGTGGACAGACGGGACCCGCGAGTCTGGGCCTCTCTGAGCACTGGCTGTAGAGGGCCCCCTGGGAATGCACAGGGATGACCTTTAAATTAATGTCAGCTGAGTCCGAGGTGACTGGCAGGGCCGTCTCCCGGAAAACAGCCTCCCAAAATGTCGGAGACTGTTATCAGTACTGATATCTTATCTTT